CCCCAAAACCCCAAAACCCCAAAACCCCTATAGATACAATTCATGACACTTTGGAGTGCTTTATTAATAAAGTTTTAATGAGAGTCATGATATATATTTTTAATAAGTACTAAACTAATTTCCCATCTTATTTTGAAATTATTAAAATGAAAAGTGTTTAATACAAGGCATAAAAGTAGATATTCTCATCTGGCTTTTTCTTTGCTATGTTTATTACAGACATATTAACTCAATCTTGTCTGGGACAAATATTCCCTTTATACTGGCAAGGCTAGGAAAACGAAGTCCATATTCATTCATTCGATATTGACCCTAGTGAGAACATTGCCTTGGGGGGATATTCTACAGATGCTGAAGTTACAGGCAGAAATAATCAGTATTAATTTCCAGTAATTGCAATGATAACTGAAGGAGGTACCTATAAATGGGCTAAGGTTTAAAATGACTAAGATTCAAGAGATAAAAAATTCGTAGTTGTTAGATTTGATCCTAATCATTAACTGGTGATTGGGATGACAGATGGAGTAAAACCTTATATTTTCCAAATAAATACAGGAGGATAAGTTTTATCAATGTATAGTCTTTTAGATTTACAAACGACCTAAGTAATTGGAGATTTCTTTATATCATCAACTATTAGCTTAATGGGAGGTACTGGTACATCTTCAATCAAACCACTTACTTTGAACTTATTTAATAGTCAAGGTAGCTATAAAATAGATAGTAGTTTTGAAGGAGCAGTTAATGTCATCAGGCAACAAGGTTCTAATCAATAGTTTTACTTTGGAGGTTATATGGTACATGAAGAAGACTTATCTCTAAGGTCAGTGGTTGGCATTATAAATACATAAGGATAAATTTTGCAATAATTAGTTATGAAATAATCTACATCTGATACTTAATATAATAGTATAGAAATGCAACAATTGACAATAGATAACACATTTTTAACTAAAAGAGACTTAGTTTATATCGCTAGCAAGCAATCAAAACTCAACTTAATCGAATTCTGTATTTATCGATTAGAGATAGATTAAACCAACTACTAAATACTTTAGTCAAAGATATCTGTGGTACCTTAAAACTGGGTTTAAATTTTATACATAAAAATAATAGATGCCTCGATAATTGAAGTAGTATACCAACTTGAATTAGGAATTTTAAACTATATTTAATTAAATTATGGGACTGGTTCTATTATTTCAGCTAATATGGCTTCTATTAGTACTATATAGCAAATCTCATATATTTCAGAATATTATGAGGTTTGAGTTAGCTAAAAATATGGATACTTATTTGGTGGCTATGCAGATAATTTACAAGGAAGTTTAGGTTATTCTGCATTAGATATTGGCAAAGAATTTGGTGTTATTTTACCATTTCAAAGAAAATATAGATGCTTTGGTTAGGAAGAGTATATAACAAATGTGCCAACTTTTACAATAAGAGACTCTACTCCGTCTTTAAGCACTTAAATTTAAGACAGACATGAACCAGTAACGAAATATTATATTTCTAATTTATTTTTCTCTAGGTTAATGCGTAAAATCTCAATATTTAACTGCAGAATGCAGGAACTAATATTGATAATATACAATGTGAAGCACCAGTTTATTAATACTCAATGACTGAAACAAACATAAAAATGTATACATAATACTCAACAGAAGTTAAATAGTATCAGTTCTCTTAATTCACTAGCTCTTGTTTACTTGCTTCAGCGGTAATTTTTAAGTGCTTAATATACTTTAATAGTCCACATAATATATTTTGTCTACATTAGCTGCATCATAAGGAGTAAACAGTACTTAAGTTGGAACTTCAGAAGGCTTATTTTAAATAACAGCTACTACTTCAACTCCAGATTAGGTATTTGACAAATATTAATGCATTTTAGTTTTTGGCTGAAATTATAATATAAGGGGAAATAGCTTTAAGTAAGCTAGTATAATCCGTAACTGTTATTATCAAATTTATGCTTGATCCATGTGAGGGTGTCACAGTCTCTACAAACAAAACTTACTATACTGTTACTGTAGATATAATAGATGGGGATGGTTAAATTATCGAAGGCTTTAATTGGAATTAAAATAAGAATTTAAACACCTGCCCGTACTAACTAGAATTTTCAAGCGTTTAATTAAACATGCCAAACAATATAGACACTCAACTTAGATTTGTGGGAACTGATTTATAAACTTCCAATCTAAAAAGCGTTGGAATATTCACATTGACAGTCAATGCCTATGTTACTATGAAAGCTAGTAACATTATGAAAGTCTTACTGACAAAAGAATTTAACCTTATAGTTACTTCCAGATGTACAAGTGCTAATCAATGTATCAAGCCTGATTCCTTCCAATAATCATATGAGCATTTCCTTTATCAGTAGCAAACTATAACTTTTTCTGAATGGACCTATATGTATCCTTCATGCCCAGAAACTCCTGTCTATAAAATTAATGGAATTCTATCATTCTAATCATTTTAATCCCTTACTTTAACAACAACTGCTGGATCATCAATTAAGTATTTAGGTAGATAATCTTTCTAACTTACTTGCTCAATTTCATCGACAATAATAACTTAAGAAGACTTTTCTATAACATTTTTAGAGCCTCCAACTATTCAACAACCTCAACAACCTTCCTCACTTATCTTTATGAAGACACCTGAATTTAGGTTTGAAAACTACTTTGAAACTAGCACAAAATTTCTTTTCAAAAACTCGTAGTACATCTATAATATATTTTTGGACTAAGATTCACAGGCTGAATTTTTTAAGTCTTATGTCTTGACCTTAGATTTGAAGGATTCACTTATTTTTGCAGAATTTACAAATTATCAGCTTAATTTTATCCCAAGCAGAAGTTTGAAAGATTTATACAGTATATTGATAACAGTATAGCCAATAAGCCTCGAATATAAGTATAAATTGGAACTTAAAATCCATATTCTTGATTAAATGACTTCTAGCTAAGAAACACCAAATGAGACCTTGTCATAAATTAATAGTATAGAGACATTAAACGACTATTCAAGATTAAAAAACAAAAAATTCAATAAAATTATTACTGTTAAGCTGGCTTCTATATCAATTGATGGTATAGCCACTCTTTAATTCAATGATACTTTGCTTCTACCAAAAAACCTATCTTACTTGATTACAAATGAAACTTTAATTCTGCAAGTAATAGATTCGAATACAGAATTAGTAGACTTTGATCATAAGTCTTTATTATCTTTCGAAGTATTATCATATAACAAGAAGCAACTAAAGCTTAAATTGAAATTCAAAGACCCCAGATACATATCTCAATCATAGGTAAGTATTAAATCTAAACATTGAGTTATAGAGGCCTGATAAGTTAAGAGTCACTTTCAAGAAGTCATATTTTTATGTTAACTAACTCATTACAGCAAAGATCTCTGATAATCAAGTCCTAACAAGAAATCTCCCTTCTTAAATTTATGACTCTGGTAAGTTTTGAGAATTTAATGAAAAGTAATATAGCGGAAATGAAAGCCTTAGACAATTTATCTCAAACAGCTTAGGTATCTCTTCTAGCAGCAATAATGGTGAATTTATTTCTTTAATTAGCTGTGAAATTTTCAATGAAACTCTTATGGAGAATGATGGCTGTTCTCTAGCTGATTGTCAATCTTCCTATTATGAGTGTAAATCTACCTAGCAATGTGTTAGTTTGCTTTAAATAACTTATTGGAATTTCCTCAATGCAGATAGTTGATAAATAAATGATTAAGAACTGGTTTTTTAGTTTTCTTGATGACTCTAATGAAGAAATAAGTGACAAATTTTAGAATTAAGATATCTTTTGAAAATGCCTCTTAAATATAATGATTAACTCCAAATATATCAAGGAGAAAGCTAGATTCTAGCTAATATGGGCTATATAATTATTTCTCTGATATTTTTAACTTTCCTTGCTTTGATTATTTGGCTTTTGATAAAAATCCTCCAGAAGATGAAAAAGTAATATTTTACTATTGAAATATTACCATATTATAGAACCTCAATGATTATTGATACTATAAAGCAGAAACTATTTTTTAGTACTTTTATTCGAATGATAATGCAGGGGTATTTGAGTAATTGTATATCTTGTGCTCTTAGTATAACTTTGGTAAGATAACTTAATGCTGATTTTCTCTAGATTGGTGATATTTAAGAAGAGAATAAAGCTCAAAATTTACCAGCAACTTTATTGATCGCTTTTGCAGTTTATTCAATACCTTTCTTAGTTTTAAAATTTCTTCTTTCAAATAACCAAAATTATGCTATCAAAGAGTTTCAAGATAAGTATGGGACATTTTATCTAGGAGTTTTAACAGAGAGCAAATATATTGCGTTAAGTGTATTTTTATATTTTTTGAGAAGGCTGTTTTTCGCTGTTACTAGTCTTCTTATAGATTCAAGTTGGGTTTAGTTATCAACTTAATTAGGATTCACATTGCTAGCAATAAATTTGCATGTAAATTTTATGCATTTGGATAGTAAAATTGCTAATGCACTTGATATTCATAATGAACTATGCTTACTGCTTATTATAACTTTGATAATACCTTTGAATGAGTATGTTGATAATATTGATTTGAGATATAACATTGGCTGGGCTATTGTATTCATCACTGTCTGGTTTCTTGGGGTTAATATTCTCTCATTGTTTGGATAAATGCTCTATACAGTCATCCAATTAATCATTAAGAAATGTAAGAAGAAGCCAATCTAAAATAATTAAACTTCTGAAGTTAATAATTTTCTAAATGATGTAAAATAAGATAAATATTTACTCTCCTAATCACTCAAATTTGACAGCTAAAATACTAGTTCAAATTTAGATATTAATTAAGTTGGTTTAGTAAACACATAAACAGATCAACCTTTTGCTTAAAAGCAATTAAGTTAATAAGATAAGGTTGGAAATGTCAAAAACAGAAAGAAAATTAAAAAAATTAAAGCAAAAAAAATAGAAACAGCAGATTAAGTATTTGATATAGAAGAAATTGATTAAAACATAAAGAAGGATAAAAAACATTAATATTTTTAACATAATAATTACAATCATAAGTAGAATACGGAAATTTCTAAAATCAAAAGTAAATAAAATGTGATTAATGATGTGAATTTCGGATCTTATGATTATGATAACTTTAATAAGAATGACACCTCTAAGCATTTCATTAATAGTAATGTAAAATATAATTTGAGCAACTTAGAGGTTTCAGGTAAATTTACTAATCAATACCCATCAAAATTTCTTTTTGAAAGTCAAAGTGATGTATAAAGCTATAATGCTCAATTACTAGCTAGTTAATAACAACTTGCTAATTAAAAGTCAATTATAAATAATAATAAGAAAAACCATAAAAATGCCAAAAAATCATTTGACATAGAACCTTTTGAATTACAGTTGTAAAATGAGTAGATCAATGTGATAAAACCAGATGCATATCTGGATGAGGGAGAAATTAAATAAAATCGCATAAGACATAAATTTAAGCAGAAGGACTATAGCCTTGAACCTAAAAACTTAATTAATCTTAAGAAAAAATTAAACCTGTAATAAGAAGTATGAAAATAATAAAAATAAGAAGTTAATTGAGATTAGTGATTTAAATTAATTTGATTTTTACGAATTCATTTGCAAATTTCGATCCACGGGGTTTTGGGGTTTTGGGGTTTTGGGG